GCCAACAAAATCCATCTGTATATGCCTGAATTGACGGATGTTAACACAGGTGGGCATTGGAAAAAAAAAAAGGTTTCCTTCATAAGTAAGCATTGAAGTTTAATAATACAATTCTGATAATTCTGATGAATTAGGATGACTCAATAAAATTATTGGGAGACAATTGCATTCTTAGAGGACTTATTGATGAAACTGATCCAAATTTGCGTTATCACGAAACCCTCCAACGGTTAGATCAGAAAATTAACATAAATTAACTCGAGAGAAAAAAAACAGAAGATAGATTCCGATAGAAAAAATATCTAATTTCAAATTATTTTAAGCATCATACCAGAAACATTAAATGCCATGCGGGTATGAAAATTTAAAGAAAAGAGGTGAAAAGTAAGTTGTCAAACTAATACGTACAAAAATTACTTTTATAAACCAATGAATAAAAATAATGATTATTTTTAAAAAGTTTGAACAGCAAAAAATTTTTAGTTACTTCTATAATTTAAAAAACCAAAACCATATTCGTTGGATGTATAAAGTAATGGAAATAAACTTGATTCACGTATTTTAAACATCAGTCAACGCACTTAAAGCGTCATACATGGAAATCAAAGAACAAATATCTGTTATCAATTCCTTCATACAATAAATAAGAGGTGAGACTAAGAAAAATAAATAAAGATATTGCAGCTATGTTTTCAATAAGAGTAAGAATTTACTCATAGATTCTAGGTAAACATGTGCTATCATAACGGAAATCTATCGTTTTCCCGCCAAATCTAGCAGGTAACTTTTAAAAGAAAAATTTGCTTCCTTTCATTGATTGTGGAAATGATTTTTTTGTTTTAATTCCTTTCAAATATGTGTTTTTTTTTCTAAAAAATAAATAAATTTTTTAAATTTAAAAAAAAATTTACTTATTTATTTTTTAATTTTTATCTAAGACTCAATATTAATAGCTCGAAGAGGTAACGCCAAATATGCTAATTAATATGTGCATACAATATTTAAAATTATGAAAGAACTTACTTTCTCTGAATAAACATACCCTTCTTTCAACGGATTTCTGACCCCAAGAATATAGGGGGTACCTGCAATCTGGGAAATATGGTCCCCATAGTTCGGTCAGGAGAGCGAGCTAAAGTTTGGACCCCTTCATATTAATTTTACCTTTTGCGTATTTTGCTATAACTCGAAAACTTTTTATGCGAATTGAAAAAGTTTTGTACAGAATTATAAAATTCGTTTATCCAAAGATAATTCCATGAAAAGGATTAATTTTAGTATGCATTTATTATGTTTTATTATTTTATTTAATAATAGTCGAAAAAATTTCGAATACTTAAAATTTGATTTCTCAGAAACTATTCGACCGATTTTGTTTAAATTTTGTATTTTGACGTATAAAATTATATTCTTTAAAATGACGTAAAAAATTTTATACCTCGCAATTCAAAATTTTTTCGACCATTATTAAATTAAATATTAAAAATTATTAAATATTTACTAAAAGTTATTGCTTGCTTGGAATTATCTTTGAATAAACAAATTTTATAATTAAATGCTTCAATTCGTTTTAAAAGTTCTACAGATATAGCGAAAGGCGCAAAAAGTAAAATTACCATTAAAGGATCCAAATTTTGGATTACTCTGTTGACCAAACTATTGGGATAGTATTTCCAAATCGCGGCTACCCCCTATGTTTTGGGGGTCAGAAATCCAAATCCATCGAAAAAAAGATATGTTTAGAGAAAGTACGTTTTTCTGTCTGATTTCGTAACTTAAAATATCGTCTGCACTAATAAATTAGCATATCTGAGGTCACCCCCTCAAACCTAGAACGTGAAGACGTCCTAGAACGTGAAGATCCGATCATTCACCTACTATTTTATTGTAAAAATGAATCCTTCACAAAACCTTTCATTCTAAAAATATTTGATAAAAGAAGTCGATGACAGCATTAATTCATTAAGAAACCGGTTTTGCGCTAGTCTTAGATTCTGAAAATTATGAGCAATTGTTTTGGCAAATGAGACATTTCACAAAAAATGGTTATAGATTATTGGTTTTTGCAATTTTTTCGAAAATCACAAAAACAGGACTCTATTAACACAAAATCTCAAGAATTGTGAATAGATTGTTCACTGTTTTACAAAACAGGTATTTTTCACTTAAAGACTAGGACTATTGTTTTTTATGATTTTTCGCGAAATCACAAAACGATGATCCTATTAACTCAAAATCACAAAATTTGTTGACCCTTAGCCAAAGAGGAAAGGTAAGTGGATCTGGGCAGCGCCTAGCTGAGTCATTTGCCCCCACCCCAAGATTCCCCCACCCCAAGATTTCAAATTTAATCTATCAAATAAAGTTATTATTAATGCTAGTAAATATATTATTTTTACTAATTAATATTTATGTTTATAATAATATTTAATAAACAACTATAGATTATAAATAATAAATAAACAAAATCTAGACCAAAAATGTGTCAATTTAAAAATATATAATGCCACCGACAACCCCGTTCGAAGCGGGTTACCCCATCTGTAAAGAGGGGATGCTTCTCCTATATAATAATTGTGTATAGATTGTGAATAGATTTTTAACAATTTCACAAGAACAAAACTTTCACAGAAATACTGCATAGACTTTTTTTTTTCGTTTTTTTTCTTCGCAAAATGAAAAAACAGACCACTCTTTAAAGGAAATTACAAAATTGTTAATAGAGTTTTTAAAATTTCGAGTAAACGGGACCTTTTTTAGAAAGGCTGTACTGTTATTTTTCTATGATTTTTCACAAAATCACAAAAACAGAATCCTATTTAAACAAAATCACAAAATTTATGTTTATAATAATATTCAATAAACAACTATAAAATACAAATAATAAATAAACAAAATCTAGACCAAAAATGTGTCAATTTAAAAATATATAATGCCGCAGACTATCCCGTTCGAAGCGTTTTACCCCATCTGCAAAGAGAGGATGCTTCTCCTAAATAAAAATTCTGGCTTCGGGCCTACAAAATTGTGAATAGATTTTGAACAATTTCACAAGAGCAAAACCTTACACAGAAAGACTGCATAGACTTCTTTTTTCCCGTTTTTTCGCAAAATGAAAAAACAGACCATTCTTTAAAGGAAATTACAAAATTGTTAATAGAGTTTTTAAAATTTCGCGTAAACGGGACCTTTTGTTTGGACCTTCTGTACTATTATTTTTCTATGATTTTTCGCAAAATCACAAAAACAGAATCCTATTTAAACAAAAGCACAAAATTTCAAATAAAATTATCACAGTTTCACAAAATCAAGACCTTTCACAAAAAATTTGGATTATTCCTGCTCGAACAAGTCCCCTACCGCATTTCAAAAAAGTCTTTGTATATTCCCGCGTCAAATTTTATAACTTAAAAAATGTATGATTTTTTTTTTCTATTTGTATCACTTTAAGAAAGGGGTTGTTATTACAAAAATGTAATTTGTTTTATTCTGGTTGATTAGAGTTTTTAAATATAGCTAAAAATTTTTTTTTTTTTAAACTATGAAATTTGATTTTTTTGGACAATTTAATAGTAAATAAATTTCTTATTTTTGAGTCTAGTTGATTTTGATTTTTGAGCAAAATATCAAAGATGGTAAAAACTAAAATTAATCAGTTTTTATGCAATAATTAAAAAATAATTCATTTTTAATCAGGTTTATTCATGAAAATAATTCTTTTTAATTAGGCTAGAGTTTTTAAATATAACGAAAAATGATTCTTTTTAAAAAAACTATGAAATTTGATCTTTTTGGACAATTTAATAGTAAATAAATTTAATATTTTTGAGTCCAGTTGATTTTGCTTTTTGAGCAAAATATCAAAGATGGTAAAAACTAAAATTAATCAGTTTTTATGCAATAATTAAAAAATAATTCATTTTTAATTAGGTTTATTCATAAAAATAATTCATTTTTAATTAGGTTAGAGTTTTTAAATATAACGAAAAATGATTTTTTTTTTTAAAAAAACTATGAAATTTGATTTTTTTGGACAATTTAATAGTAAATAAATTTCTTATTTTTGAGTCAAGTTGATTTTGCTTTTTGAGCAAAATATCAAAGATGCTAAAAACTAAAATTAATCAGTTTTTATGCAATAATTAAAAAATAATTAATTTTTAATTAGGTTTATTATTTTATAAATTTATTTAATTGAAATTTTTTTTTAAAATTTTAACACCTCTATTAGTAAATTTACTTCTAAGTAAAAGTTGCTGGCACTACTTATAGTCTTAAGAGAATATTTTTCTTAACCCCTTCAAGACCACGATCACATAAACGTGGTTCTTCCTTCACGGTTCCATGCAAAGCCTTTCTGACTTCAGCGGCCCAAGATTACATGGACGTAGTATATATATAGACTCAATATAGCGCTTTCGTACTGCATTTCATGTCAGTACTCTTTAGTACGCATATTCTCTGACTTCGCAGATTTGAGCCGTGAACGCTCAAGAGATAGAGCATTCGCCTTTTAATAAGGTGAACCGGGTTCGAATCTCAGCGATGGCTGGTCAATATGAATTCCGACTTGCACTGATCACAGTGCTGACGTAAAATATCCTCAGTGGGAGACGGATCATGGGTCAGAATCCCCTTACCGACAGGCTAGCCGAGAGAGGTTTCCGTGGTTTTCCTCTCCATGTAGCGCAAATGTGGTTTGGTTCCATAAAATAGTCCTCCACGAAGGCAAATTTCTCCCAATACTTAATACATGAGCTTCCTTGTCTTCTGGATTGGGTTCAAAATTACAAGACTACGGAGTTGAACATCAAAAGTTATAAAACCAAAAAAAAAAAAAATTGGGTCTGCTGTTCAACGATGGTTATAAAATATGCAGATGAAACGCTTTTTTTCTCCGTCTGCCGGGTCTGAAGGAGTTGATAATTCATATTTTTTTGGAAACTCGTTTAAAAAGTATTTGAAAGACTAAAAACTAAGAAAAAGAACGATTGACTTACCGATTTTGGCACAGCAAGCAACGAAAATCCATGCAGTAATGATAAATGGACCTGCTACATGATCGAAATCAAAAATAGCTACTGGAAATCTTTTCACTTCATGGACAGTTCGTTGTGTAGATGGCACAGTAGAAACATCACGAAGTGGCTGAAGATGAGGTTCATTCGCTTTATTAGAAATCACTTCCGTTTTTAAGTTATTTCCCTCATCTTCACAAAAACAGTTTCCAAAAAACAAAAAAGTCGTTAATAAACAAAGTCGAAATGTTTTGAAAGAAATCATTTTTCTGTTTTTTTTTTTTTTTTTTTTTTTGTAGTTTCAACCAAATTTAAATCTTAAAGCTCTTTGCCTTGTAGAGATCACAAAATACATATCTAATTCATTTGTTCTTAAAATATTCTAAATTTACAATAATTCTCTCCAAAAAAGCAGATTTTTACATATTTTTAAATAAAATAATTGACTTTTTCAAAACTATCGTTACATATTACTTTCTAAAACATCGTTTTTATCAAAAATACCTCCTGTGAGCGCCGTGTATCAATTCACCGGTTTTACTAAAAGAGAACTCGCTCCTCTCTTTTTCTACTCACACCAACGACTCAATGTAGATCACTGGGTTATAGTTTCTAACTCATATCTGTATTCTTCTTCTACAATCCCACCTTTTCTAGTGATGTCAGTCGTTTACAGGGTTTTGATTGGCTGGTGCTTAGCAACCACAACATCGCGTCTCTCGGCGTTTGATTTAAGCAGAAGACGCGAAACCATTCTTTCTTTTTCTTCAAGTGATCCGAAAAGAGAAAACCCTTTTACAACGAAAAACAAGAGATGTTATTTTCCCCGCAAAACAGCTTATAAAAGTGTTTAGTTTAATCACGAGTATTAAATAAAAGATCGAAGTAACAGTTTCTACTAATAATGAAACGTATGTTTTAAATATATTCTCGCAAAACACAAACGTTAAATAATGTGATTTTTTCTTAGAATTATGTAGATTGGAAGAAACTCATAAATGCGATAAAACATTATTTTTAAAAAAATTAAATTAAATAACTGAATTAAATTGTTTTTAATTTTTAATCATTTGATAAAAAAATTATAATTTTTAACACTTTTTGCACATTGTTAAATATTTTTTAATGTAATTCCAGGATAGACACTATCCAAAAAAATTTAAAAACTGGTAGGAAAAAATCAAGAAATCAAAATGTTTTAATAATTACCATCAACTAAAAAATGCTTGTAAATTAATTACACTAAACAAATTATAGACATCTAGCTTGACATTATTTAATGTAGTTTGTTTTACTGATTTCAAATAGGAAAACCGTTTTGCTTTATCCCGTCAGGATTTTCAGTTGTTAGCAAAAATTAATTTTCATGGAACGTTGTTTAGTTTTCGTAGAATATTGTTTCAATTTTAGTAACTTTGATGGAATATTGTTTAAATTTTATTAGTTTTAATAGAATACTGTTTAAATTTCATTATTTTAAAGAAATACAATTGAAATTTTATAAATTTTACTTAAATATTGCTTAAATTTTATTAGTTTTCATAAAATTTGCTTGCATCGGGTACAACAACTGCGCATTTCTGCCACAGATACAAAAAGTTTAGGAGTTTCCTTGGAATGAGGGACACTTTACACTAGAACCACAGAAAAAAAAATAGGGAGAAAAAGCTCCAGAAGTAAAAGCAAGGAAAAAGAGCATTGAAAAAAAGCATCGGGGAAAAAAGCACTACTTTAACAATTACAAGAATTTAATGACCGATTAGATTCAGGCTGTTAAACATGAACGTAATATAATTAAATATTTATTGGAATATAAATAGATTATTTTTAAAACTGATTAATATGTAAAGTTAAACTTAAAGTTTGATAAAACGAACTTTAAATGCATGTTCCGAGATTATTCTAATTATACATAATACAATTATATAATATACTTAATAGTATTATTATATAACGTCTTAATTAAAAAAGTATAGTTTTTCAAGAAATTAAGTTTTGTGAAAAGTTGAAAATATTGACAAAACTTAAGAAAAGTTTCATTTTAATACAATTTTTTTAAAACTAATTACCTATTGCTAAAGCATAATCACAGCACAATTAGTCTAATTATTGGAATTCAAAAAAATTATGCTGCTACTTTAGAATTTAAAAAAAAGAATTATTAAATAGTATGAAATGCGTCAAGTGCCTTTCATGAACTTTAAATTAATTCTTGTACTTCAGTTATTTTTTTAAAGAATCTAATTTCATTATAAGGAATATTTAATTACATTAAATTCAGGCTTAATTCCCTAAATTGCCCAAATCAAAATGGGCGTAAATTTAAATAAATGTTCACGTTTTCTCAGTGTTTTTTTCTACAGCTTTTTTCGGGTTCTCTTCGGTGTTTATTTCCGATGCTACTTTTTATGCTTATTATTAACTACTGAGTAGACTCTTAAGATGTGTACAACATTGAAGTATACCTTAGATTAAGCTAGTTATTTCAGTGCGTATAGATTTTATGTGCACTGTATTTTGAACTAGATATTTCTATACTAGATATAGACTTGATATTTCTATATTAGATATTTCTATAGTAATTTGACTTGATTTAACTGTTTTCTTAGCTAATGATATGTTAATGAGTAATAAATGTAACAGCAAAGGACTCTAGGGAAATGTAAATGGTTGAAGAAGTATACATGTTACTGTAAATGACCAAAATTGGTAGTTGACTTCCATCACTGAATGTTGATTTTACAGTCGCTTTGGTAAATATCCGAAACATATACATACTAGGTCGAGTTAAGTGCAACTGCCCGGTAAACCCAACACAGATGGTTTTTAAGGTTCAATGTCTCTGCCAAGTATACATTTGCCCGATATGCCCTATATCAATGTTAAATATATTAAATTAAAATATCGAATAAATGCAGTAATATCAACGAATAAATTAATATCAAATCAGGTATAACAAATATTGCGGACATTCACCAAAGCGACTATGTGATTGCTGACATTCACCGGTGAAAGTAGACATTCTCCTGATTTCGCTCATTCACGGTAACATACATAAAAAACAGTGAGACCGAAGACTCCCGGTGTAGTAAATGGTGACTGATGCACGTTAAATCTGTCGAGTCGCAAAGTCCTCCATGTTCCCATAACAAATCAATAACTCTGGGGGTACTGGATTGGAGATCGATCGTTCTCTGATTCAGGTCAAAATTACGATCTGTGGATGAATGAATGGATGTATGAATGAATCCGCCCTATAAAACGGGCTGTGACGTGTGTGTGGCTGAAGAGGAATTTTTGGCCATGGATGGCGCCACTGAAAAGCAAGAAACGCACCCTCTGCCTTAAATTTGCTCGGTTTCACCAAGAAGTCTTGCTAGTGCAGCAAGTGACATTAGAAACAACAACAAAAAGAGTGGGTGATAGAAACAAATGGTTCGCATATTTTAAATCAGCTCATTTTAATTGTCTAAGAAAATGTAGTTAATCGTAAGATATAAGCAGTTTTTTAAAATTTGTTCAGCTGTGTTATAAAAGACCATCTGAATTTTTAAAATTGATGTCAAATTAAACTCTATAAAATTTACGATAACCTTATAAAGCATTTTATCATCACTTTTAAATTGTTTCCAGTCTATAGAAACCCTGATTACTTTACATTTTGGCTGTGAAATACATTCCATTAGCTTTAAGTAAAGCAGAAATTTTATTGATGCACAAAATTGTCCAAAAAATTACTTGAATCCAACTGCTCATCTCTCCTATAATTTTTATAGCAATTAAAAACTCCAAATAAAGACGGCAAATCCAATCATATTTTTTCATAGGCAAACAAAAGAAAGATCCTAAAATATTATTTTTTAGTAATAAGATTATATTAAATGTTGTCCAATATGTTTGACGCTGGGCTTCAGGAAAATATGCAGACTTTAAATCCTTTGACGCAAAAATTTTATTAAACATATTTTTCATGCTTTTATAATTATTTTGTATTAATTTAAGTCAAAATTAGTGAAAAAAATATTATATTTAGCATTTTAATAATTTATGGTTATGAAATTCATCATGAAACACCGGTGTTCTTCTCTGGGTTAAAGGTAAAATCTTCCAAACAAAAAATTTTGGAAATTTACACCTATTTGTAATTATTTAGATCTAAGAGAAATAGTGATTCTTTATTGAAATTTCTTTGATTTACAAAAACAATTTTTGACTAGTGTTTGAATATGAATAAAAGATAAATTTCGAACTATTTTTTTTGGGGGGGGGGGGTTNTTTTGGGGGGGGGGGGATTTTATATNTTTTGGAAATTTGCACCTATTTGTAATTATTTAGATCTAAGAGAAATAGTGATTCTTTATTGAAATTTCTTTGATTTACAAAAACAATTTTTGACTAGTGTTTGAATATGAATAAAAGATAAATTTCGAACTATTTTTTTTTTCGGGGGGGGGGATTTTATATTTTAAGACAATTATTACATTCCAATAATTTAAAAGATTTTTTTTCAGTAAATATTTGACTGTTTCTTATAAATAAAAAAAAACGAAATATATTTTTGCTGGTTATTAGGGTATCAGAAAAATATATAAAAGAGACACCGGTATCCCATATGTGTCAAAAAGTTAAAAACTTATACATTTCGCTACAGATAAAAAAATCCCACTTTTCAATTTAAGATATTCCAAATTTAAGAGCATTTACTTTAAAGATTAATTAATAATTGTGAAACTTGGGTCAATAATTACTTTCAATGTTTAAATCCATAAAAGTTTTACGAAACATGTATGCTAAAGACAAAAAAAATAAAGCATGGGGGTTTTAATCAACTCGCAACATGGGGTAACTTAAATCAGCAGAAAGAATCTTTTATTTGTCCTGTGTTAGAAGGTAATAAGCAACAAAAAGCTAAAATAAATCTACTACAGTGCGAAGGAAAAGATGACACCTTAAAAATATTTTATCCAATGATTGGATTTTCCCTTACTAGGGCTGCTTTACTTATACCACTTAATAATTTTACTACTTAATTTTACTACTTTATTAACTATTTAATTATTCGAGGGATTAACCTTAAACATGCTAACAAATGATAGTTGTAGTTGTTGTTGTTGTCTGTCATTAATGCAGAGGGATGTGATTGTTTTTGTTTTCCAGTGGCGCCAACTATGGTAAAGAATTAGACTTCTCTCACACTACCAGTTACTACCAGTCCTACCAGTTTAAAGGGTGGACCCATCCATTCATTTATCCACAGATCATAGTTTTGACCTGAGAGAACTATCAATCTCCAATTCAGTACCCCCAGAGGTATTGATTTGTTATGGGAAGACAGAGGACTTTGTGACTCGACGTCGGAGTAGAGAAGTAAGAATCAAAGAAAAGTTTGCAGGAGTAAAAAAAGTTTTTATCGATTCCAACTCCGGTTTGTTAAAAACTCGCTATCTTAAAATGACTCAGTACAATTAATAGGTTAATCGTCGATTCATGAAATCGAGAACAATTTTTTTTTTAGTCAACTACGTAGCAAAGTTAGTGAAAATAGGAAAATTAATTTGTATTAGTTTCCTAGTTTATGAACATTATAAACCCCAATTTTAAAAAAAA